CTAAACTGAAAAGGTATTAGAGAGATTCGAAATGAAACATTATATGTTCATGTCTGCACCTATCATCAAAAGGGATAAACTCAGTCAAGATCACTGTCCACAAAATGAACTAGAAAAGGAATAGATGAAGGGCATACCTTATGCATCTGTCATGGTAGCTTGATGTATGCATAGGTCTTCACTTGACCTGACATTGAATTTACAGTAGGATTATTGGGTTGATACCAGAGCAATCCTAGTATGGAGCATTGGAGGGCTACTAAAAGAGTCATCAAATATCTGAAGGAAACCAAGGACTACAGTTGGACTTACGATTGTACTGATCATTTGAAGGTGGTTGGTTATTCAGATTCAGAATTTGTTGGATGCGTAGATTTAAGAAAATCTACTTCGGGATATGTCTTCCTTCTCGCTGGAGGTGCTATATCATGAAGAAGTACTAAGCAAACAATTATTGTTTCATCTACCATAGAGGCAAAGCTTATTGTGTGCTATGAAACCACTAGACATGCATTATAATTGAGGAACTTTATTTCAGGTCTAAAAGTCATCGATTTCATTATGAGGCCTATAGCGATCTATTGTGATAATTTAGTGGTTGTTTTCTTCTCCAAAAATAATAAAAGTGGAAGATGAAGCAAGCATATCGACATGAAGTATCTTCGTGTTAGAGAGAATGTGAAACAAAGTGTTGTGTCCATTCAACACATTAATACCGAGCTTATGATTGCAAATCGAATGACTAAAAGATTGCCGGCAAAAAAGTTTCTAAGTCACGTTGAGCATATGGGATTTTTTTTAGCTCGTTATGTGTTTATTTTTCTTTGTAGTTGTTTTTTGGCATGTGTTGAATATTCTTGGAGAATAAAGTTTGATTGTGCACAAATAAGTTCTCATATATAAATTATATCTGTTAGGATAGTTAAAGTAGGACCCGAGTGATTTGTAGGAAGTCATTCATAAAGTTTGCTTATAAGGTTGCTCACTTAATGAATTTATGCATTATGGTACATGGAAAGAAGAGCTCGTTATTACTAAGAGCTTGACCGCTATGATCAATGCATTAGATTCTTTATTTGAGTGGGAGTTATCCACTATTATATGGTATGAATTTTAATTATGACCATGCTTCTATGTTAATTATGATGTATTTGTGTCATGTGGACCAAGTGGGAGAATGTTGTATTCGGATAAAGTTTTGGCTCACTCGATACAAATTATCTTAATTTGTTATGGTATTTAAATTCTTATCCTATAAGGAGTTGTAGTGGATTTAGATAAGATCATATCTTGATAGTTTTCCTGATGGATGAAAACTATTTTTTAGAAGTCTTATCTTTTAAGAATTCTAGTTATAACAGAAGGGTCCTAGCCTATCCTATAAATACAGTCATAGTTTCTCCATCAGATTTAGGCTTTTCCGTAAGGAATAGGCTAGAAACTCTTTCGTATTTCTTTGTTTTGTTTATTCTAACAGTGATCTAACTTTTATTCTTTATTTTATGTATATGCTCAGATTATCTCTGAGTTTTATTTTCTGAGTTACATATCGTTCTAGACAACAACGGCTGGAGGTATCTTTTAATCTAATTTATTTCTGTTGTATTCTCTGTATCTATTTATATTATAATTTCTTACATGAACTACTAAGATTAAATATAAAATTAGATTAGAATTCTAAAGTTAGCCGCTTAATCATTGATGGTCGACTTTAATCATCAATGGTGACGTGATGACCATTGATGATGGATTTTGCTCCACTGATGATTTGGAAGTTTCTATAAAATGTAATCATGGATGGTCTCTTCATGCAAGTAACCCTCATAAATATAGCTATCAGAACTAGCAAAAGAGGTACGAGGTGTAAATGTTAACTTGACATGTGTAATTAAGAAATGGTTACATCAGACTAAGAATCTGACATGCGTAATAAAGAAATTGTTACTAGACTTGGGAAGTGGTAACAATCATTGTTACAAGACATGGGAAGTGGGAACATGAATTAATAAATTAGCCCTTTTAGTTCCACATGGGACAAAACTACAAAGAACGACTACTACTAAACTGGAAGCGGGAACATTCTAAATTTCACCCTGGCCATTATAAAGAACGAAGAGTTTGAACGTAATCAATTTAAGGTTCGAACTTTTAGCTACTCCCTTATCCAAGCCCACATGGATAAGAGACACGTTTACTAGAAGTCAATGTGTTTTATTATGCTATCTTTCTAAATGTAGGGAATTTCCCAAAATAATAATAATAATTAATAGTCAAAGACTTTGGGGCAAAGAAATAAAGATAAGGCTCACACCTTAGAAGATGAATTCTGGGGGCCAAAAGCTCTTGAGTGGTGAACAGGAACAATTTAATTTGCATGTAAAACCTCCCGAGTTTATTGTACATTAGTTTAAACTTACTTAATAGTTTAAAGGAAACTATACAAAAGTGGTGAACATGAACAAACTCTTTCACTGTGAAATCATTCTACTCTCTTCTCAATAATGAAGGCATTGTCTCTCATCTTCATAACTTTATTTGGTATTCTCATGTTCCATTAAAGGTCAAATCTTCCTTTGGACCCTGAGTAAGATGAAACTCCAAACTAAAGATAACATGTTAAACAAGGGTTGGTCAGGTGATCTCTCTTGCCTTTTTTGCAACCAGGACAGGGAAACTCACGACCATCTATTCCTTTCATGTTCATTATCTTCTGCGGCCTAGTCCATCCTCTTCCCTTCTTCTAATCTCAGTCAATGGCCCAATGAGATATTAAGTATGATTTCTGATAAGGATAAATTCCTAGATAACCTCAATCAAAGAATGCTATGGAGGGTATTATTTCCATGTCTCTGTTGGTGTATATGGAGCAGTCGAAACAACCTCATTTTCAACAATACTCATGTTACTCCTCTATCTATTGCCTCTAACGTAGCTTGTTTTACATTATTCTGAACATGAGCATCTAGCAGCAGAAAAGCCCAACGTCTCCGTAGGGCGCTGCAGTTGAATTGGGCCTGCAGGACACGACCAAAGCTAACACAGAAGAAGTTCTTGGGGAAAACTTTTCTCATGGAGACTAGCTTTTGGCAGATACTTCCACTTCTAGCTCTCGGTTTCTTTAAGTTCCTAGATCTAGTGGTCTTATTTTCAGATGTGTGAACTTTTCTATTAACTCTTGGAGATACACTACTCTTTTGTTATAATGTAGTAGTAGGTTTAGCTTGGAGATGGTTGCCGTGTTACCTTTGTGGTGGTTATTTTCTGGCAACCTTTCCATCCTCTATTGTAGCTTTTATTGTTTTTGTGATTTCTGGTAGGCTAGGAAGCTCGTTAGCTTTTATCTGGAGGGTGACGACTAGGATCTGTTCCCCTCCGATAACATCTTCTTCAATTCCTATCCTCACCACTTTTGTATAGTTTTTATGGTTGTTTTGTATATTCTAGAATTTAATTCTATATCAATATATATTTGAATAGGGTATCTCACCCTGTTTTTCTTCTTCAAAAAAAAAGGAAAGTATGGCTATAGAGAATAAATTTCACAAACAATGGTTATAGAGAATAAATTTCACAAAACCATAATTCGACTGCTAACAATTCCAAAAAAAATGATACAATTATTTTAATTAGAAAAATTATATCATACATTTTCATCTAGTCTAACACAATTAACAGACATTCCTGTAAGCTGACACGTAATTTATATTAAGCTAACATTATAACATATGTTGAGCGCTTTTATCCTTGACTATATTACTGTGAGTTCCGATAACTTTTTTTTCTTTTTTTTTTTGGGTGAGGGGTGTTGGAAAGGTCGCCATGGTAGTCATCCTAAATCTATGTATGTTTACATTTTTTTTATTAAGTGATGGGAAATTTTGTGAGGGTATTCTTTGCTTCTTAACGCTCCTAATGCGGATAAATTGGGAGGGGAGGGTAAGGTCGGATTTTAAGTGAATTGATCATTCTCTTCATATTTTCAATTCTAAAAAAACACAAATTAGATTAATCATATTCCCTCTCCTAGTTGTCTATTCAGATACAATTAGTTACATCAGATCCTTTCTCTCCTCAGATTTAGAACTTTTTAAAGAATATTAATAACGTTCTTAGGATAATTTCTTGATATTAAATTCTACTTATTATTCTAATGTACGTTAGTCATGATAGTTTAGTAAAAAGTTCACAAGATTTTTGCTAATCAATGCATAAGAAAAACTAATTACTTATGCGGCGGACTACTAATTGCTGAGCCACAAGTTTTCTAGGCAAGTTTTCATTATTTAATATATATCACTAGTAGAAAAACGACCAACCTAGACGGAAATTTCCGTCTAGGTTGGTTCATCTAGACGGAAATCCGTCTAGGTAGATTGGTTTATTCTGTTACCGTCTAGTTTGGATCAAACTAGACGGATTTCCGTCTAAATTGATCAATCTAGACGGAAACCAACCTAGACGGAATCGACATTTCCGTCTAGGTTGATAACCTAGACGGAAATCCGTCTAGGTTGATAACCTAGACGGATTT